GAGAATGACAGACCATTAGCAGTGCTAAGGTGGTGGAAGTTCAACCAAACATTCCACAGTGTTCTCTGTTCACAGCATGGGCGGGGGGGAGGGGGGGAGTTCCCTCCAGCTTCTATCTGGACCCAGAATCTTCTTAGGCAAACGTTCCTAGACTACAATGTGCCAGAGAGTAAGCCACTGCTTTCCTTCTAGTCGGGTAGAAAACAAGTTGAACCTTTCCAGAGGGTGAGAGGCTTGTCCCAAGTTAGAAAGCTGGGGCTATGGTGCCGGCCTGTCACCAGCTATCAGGTGCCCAGCTGGCCCGGGGTACCACCAACACCCGAGGTGGCCAGGGGTGGCCAAGCTGCTCACAACTCAGGCACCTGTCTCCTTAGAGAGTCTGAGTCTGAAGCCACCCCAGCTGATACTCAGGCCCTGATCCTGTGGGGGCATGGGCAGAACAGAGCTCACGGCCCCCCACGTTAGTGGCTCGGTATCCTGCTGCCAAAACAGCAGGGGAGATGCTCACAACCAGCTTGAAGGCCCGGCTTCAGCAAGGGCTCAGGCCTGGTTCAGCGAGCTAACTGCACTCCTGGCTCAGTTTTATTCCTTCTGACTTTATTTTCCCTTTTACTAAATGTACCTTAATGTTACTTCCCTTACTTTCATGCCACTTTTGAGTTGTTGTGTTTATGGATTTAGATAAATTGCCTTAAAAACATTTTGAAAGAAGGAAGGTCTGAAAAAATATGGGGATCACTGTTACGGACTTCTCCTAAAATCTAACCTTGAAAAAACTAATATTTTTTTACATTGTTCTGTACTTTTAAAAGCCACAAAACACTGACTTCTAAAAGGAATTTGTTTAACTTTAGCAGTTTCTTATCCCAGGTCCCAAAAGAATAATTCCTACCTCACAGAGTTTGTCTGAGACTGTAAACCCACCCAGGCTTGGGAACCCCTCCCCGGATGAGACAAAGAGATGACAGCAGAAGCAGCCACGAGAGACGGCGCCGAGCCCGGGAGGAGAGGCCAGGGGCTCCTTGGCGCCCGGGCCCATCCAACTGGCCGGTCCTGCACAACCCCCTCCCCCCAGGACTCCAGGCCCTGGAGTCAGCCAGATGGGGGCACTCCATGTGCCAAGCCAGTCTTGAAGTGAAAAGAGGAACATGGAAGGTGCCAACTTCCATGTGAAGGAAAGCCCTTGGCTATTCACTTCTAAAGATTCAATGTCTGCTGAGCAGTCAGGCCAGACACTGCCGCTTTCCAAGAGCAGAACAGGGTGCCTTCCACTTACCATGATAACCGAGACCCCGGTGGTGGTGCTGTTCTGTTTGGGAAGCGCGTTATTAAAGTGCTGTTTGAGTTTACCTGTTACTTCTGCTTGCATATTATTCTCCTGGGAGGCATCATCCTACAGAAAAGAAAAGAATCAAATACAATGATTTCTGATTCTCACACCTAAGTTGTGTTTTCCTTAATAGTCACCCCCACCCCACCATCTCTTCCTGAAAGGGCCCATCTTTACCACAGGGTTAGGGGAACAATGACCTTTTAAAAATAATTACTGTTGTGTAGCAGTCCTCTGTCCTCACAAAGACCCCAGGCCATTTACTCTGTTCCTTAAGCCTACAGTGGGCTGAGGAGGGAGCACCAGTCTCCCAAGAGCACGAAGGAGGACATTCTTTAGGCTTCTGAGACTCTCCACAAAAGGCATAAATCCCACAGAATTTAGTACAGATCCCTCCCATGGACACATCAAAATTAATGAAGAGTTTATTATTTTAATGAAGAATTCGGTTACTTGTTAGTCTTTATCGCTCATGAAGAAATGGCATCTCAGCTACTCGGGCTAAGACCCAAGTCACTCGGCCAGATCCAGAGAGGCCAAAGCCCGATGTCAGGATGTTGGGGTCACAGAGATGGTGGAGGGGCCCAGGGTACCACCCCTCCCCAACAAGCTAGCCAGAGCCCTTGGCTATGTACATTAACCTCACTCTCTCAGAGCCTCTGGGAGTAAGGGAAATGCAAACTCTCCCACCAGCACCATTTAATGGATCACATTTACCCTAAACCCAGAGGCACCACCAAGCCCAGAACTCTGCTCGACATCACGACCCCTCCACCCAGCTCCAGAAGGGACTGTGTCTCAGCCTTCCTACCCACAGCAGGAGGTCTACTGTGACTCTCCTGTGATCACATGCCATCAAGACATAGGGATCAGGGTCTGAAACATGCTCATTCCTGGGCAAATCCTGAAAACTCCCAAACCCCAGAAGCACAGAAGGCAAAAGGTGAAAGGCTCCTAAGAGAGCATTCCGACCAACTCTTTCATTTTGCAGATGAGGAAGGTGAGGGCCAGAAAGGGACAGTGACTTGCCCAGGTCAAACACTCCGAGATCCTCATGCCAACTGCTTTCTCGCAGAGAGCTACCTGCACACTACTTGCTCATGAGAGAAAACAGCCAGTCCCCCTGCCACGGAACGTGGATGCAGAGCTCTGTGTGCACAAAAGCTGCAGTGAGGAAGCACGCTGATGGTTACAGAACTTATAAGTGTTCCTTCCCTGCGAACGTGGGTACTTACTGACACCCAGGGGTGGCTCAGGATTTCTCCCGCAGTACACCGAGCTTCGACGTTTACCTGAAGCATCTGACTGATTAATTCCTGGAAAAAGAAAAACCGTAGAGGAGACGAAGTGGGGAATTCCAGCATAAACACAGAGATCTGAGTTTGCACCACGTACTTCAAAGACCCAGCCAACACAGCTGCTCAGCCATTTCAATGTCAAAGCTACTATCCCCTCCACACCTTCTGCCCACCAGGCGGCTGCACAGACACGGCGGCCTCGCCTCGCTCCGCGAGACAAGAGAAGGCCTCTCCTGGGTCGACATTAAACCAGCATGTTCCCTCCTAAGACTTCTGGTTATTAGCATCATTCCACAGTTTAAAACCTGCAGTACTGTTCCTTTTGGCAAGTCGGTATGTCCCATGCCCACATTCCGATGGGTGTCCAATATATATTTTTTAAATAAATGAAACACGAATGAATGTTTAGGGTTTAGAGGAACACAGGAGGGTGGCAGGGGCAAACTGGGAAAACACCCAGTCCAGCCTTCAGAATTCCCTTCAGAGTTTCAAGACAATTATCATATGATCTCACTGATATGTGGAATTCAAGAAACCAAACAGACGATCATAGGGGAAGAGAGGAAAAAATGAAACAAGATGAAATCAGAGAGGGAGACAAACCATAAGAGACTCTTAATCTCAGGAAAAAAAAACTGAGGGTTGCTGGAGGGGAGGGATGGGGTGGCTGGGTGATGGATGGACATTAAGGAGCGCATCTGTTGTAATGAGCACTGGGTGTTCTATAAGACCAATGAATCACAGACCTATACCCCTGAAACAATGCATCACATGTTAATTTTTTTAAAAATTAAAAAAAAATTTCAGAGACTATACCGTGGAATGAACTTAAAGAAGAAACACACGTTAAAAGTCAAGATAGACCTGGAGCTTACTACCAAGAGCTGCAACAGCCCCATGCAACAGAGGAGGGCCCCTCTACAAAAAGCAACCCACAGGAACAAACCCAGATGGTACCTTTGCTGAGTCCGTGATGTTATCCCAGTACGGGGCTGGGAACTCCAGCTTCCCAGCCAAGATCTGGTCAAAGAGATCTTCCTGTAGATTGTTCTCACTAAGTCAGTGACAAGGAAATGGAAGAAAAACCAAAGTCATCATACAGTTTTTCAACAAAACGGTCACAGGAAGAGTGGGGTGAGGAGTCTAGTCTCTTTGGCTTGGGCATTTCACATCTCAATTGCACTTGTTATTTTTCCTTTTAGACAATGAGCTAAAGAACATTTCCATAGGCCTGGGTATCAGGGAGAGAGAGGACACAAGACTCAAGGAATCTGTTTATGGATACAGTTTCAGCTTGGGAAGATGAAGTAATTTTGGAGTTGGATGGTGGTGACAGTTTCACAGTATTGTGAATGTACTTAATGCCACTAAAACTGTACATTTAAAAATGGTTAAAATGGCAAATTTTATGTTGTATATATTTTGCCAAATAAAAAAAGGACTCAAGACAAAAATGAAATCCACAAATAGTGTCAGTTCTCATTTCAGAAAAAAGCACCTCGGCATCCGCCTCACTTAATCTCTCATGGCAATCAGAGTGGAAAAGTAGCAAATCTGAGTCAGATCTCCTTGCCCTTCCTCTTTCTGCTTTTCTAATAAAACAGTCAAGATCAGTGAAACAGCTAAGAGATGAAAAAGGTATAAGGAGTCCAGAATCTGAATACAATATTCAAGACATAATTAGCTCCCCATTGGAACTTGACTTTCGTTGAAGCTCCATCTGAAAAAAAGAGCCCATCCAAGACTGGCAACTGGAACTGCACAGGCTGAGGTGGACGGGTCTTGTGGCCGCCTCCAGGTGGGCATCCGTCTTCATGCTGTGCCTAAGTCTGCCACCCTTACAAGTGCTCTTGCACACACACAGCTGGTGCCTAGTGAATAAATGAGGACTTGACTTTCGATGGAAGGAGCATGGAAATGTACAAACACTACTAGGAAAAATTCAGGAAGCTGGATGTCCCCAACTTCCCAGAAAACAGAGCCACAGAGCCACCCTCCACCCCTCTCACTTGGTGGGTGCATCAACGGCCTGAGTGAAAACAAAGTCCTTAGCTTTTCAGACCATTACCCAGCCTTACTGGAAAACTCAGGATGGGCTGTTAGAGTCAGGAACAAAATCCAGGAGTGGAATCAGTCTCGGCTAGCAAGTGTGCTATCTTTCTCTTGGGAGTTCCCAACAGGGCCCCTGCACCTGTTGCTCAGCGTACTCACATGAGACCCTCCGCAGCCTTCTACACAGAAGCCCAGGCCCACTAACTGCCTTCTCCGAGTAAGCACCTGTGGCGTCCACAGAAATAGGTTATTTAAGGCCATGCCTAGAGACAAACTCTGGGGCTGTCTGATGATATGATGATCCCATTCCTGTTCAGTGAACAAGAATATAGGCAAACCTCATTTTATTTGTGCTTCACTTTACTGCACCTTTGCAGCTCATCTGTTTTTTTTACAAAGTGAGGGTTTGTGGCAACCCTGCATTGAGCAAGTCCATCAGTACCACTTTCCAACAGCATTTGCTCACTTTGTGTCTCTGTGTCACATTTGGGTAGTTCTCGCAATATTTCACACTGTTTCATTATTGTTCTATCAGTTATGGTGATCTCTGATCATTGACTACAACTTGCTAAAGCTCAAACCATGGGTAGCATTTTTTAGCAACAAAGTACTTTTTATTTATTACTATTTTTTTATTTTAAAGTAGGCTCCATGCCCAGCATGGGGCTTGAACTCACGACCCTGAGATCAAGAGTCATAATTTCTACCTACTGAGCCAGCCAGGCACCCGTCTTTTTTTTAATAAAGCATTTTTAAATGAAGATATGTACTTTGTTTTTTTTAGACATTATGCTATTGCACACTATTTAATAGGCTACAGTACAGTGTAAACATAACCTTTATATGCACTGGGAAACCAGAAAATTCATCGGACTCGCTTTACTGTGGTATTTACTTTATTGCAGTGTCCTGGGACTGCACTCCCAACGTCTCTGAGGTATGCCTACAGAGTCTGCGAGCTTTGGGAATGTCCGTGACATCTCCCCAAGCCCAGCTGAATCGACCTCTGCCAGTCTGTGAAGTCTGGGTCAAGAGGCACACTGAGGAGAAGTCAGGCCAGACAACCTAGTGAGGCAACAGATCCCCACTGCTGTCCTGGAAAGTGCTTGTCTAGGAGGGCGCACAGATTATTTCTTTCTAAGTGTCTGAATGTTTTCTTTTTCACTGTTACTTTCCTACTGTCAACTCTCCCTCAAAATGAGTGAAGGAGGCACATAAGAACACAATGAGATTTTACAGACATCTTTAGGAGACTGGAGGACCCCAGAAGACAATGTTAGAAAAAGATGTTAAAAATCACCCATTTCCAGAACCATTCCTTTTAGCCATTCTTCTCTATCATTCATCTCCATTTTATTGTCTGGAATACCAAAAAGCTTCTATTCTGTTAATATATATGGCTTTTATTTTGTTAGTAAACAGCTAAAAAGTTGGAAGTGTAGCTGCAGCAAGTCATTTAGGTTCTTGGCAAAATAGTCTGAGTTAACAAACGCAAGCCCATAGGGTCTCAGCAATTAGAAGGCACCTTTTAGGATCCACACTGAGAAATGCAAGCGCTTTGAGAGTTTCAGGCCACCCCTCCCCAGAAGAACAGAAAGTAAATTTATCCTTCTAAATAGTCACATAGTAAAAGCCACCCCGATTAAATCTACACTGGACTTATTAACACATTTATACTCCACAATCTGGCTGAGATGCTTCAGGGCACTTTTAAATCCTAAAACAGTATAGCCCACGGATCAAGGTGCAGTAAGTTTTAAAATGTACGTCAAGAAAAACCTTGAAAACAATAGGAGTTTGAGCACACTCCCTCTTCAACGGCAAACTGTTAAAGGTCTGATGAGGTAACTTGAAATGTTACAAAGGATATTCAAACAGTTCACTTATGGGGAGAATGAATGTATGTTTCAGAAACAACAATATTAACAGTACAGTCATGCAAATATCACTTTATGTCAGTGGCCCCAAGAACAGACTTCCTCAGGCCGTAACTAACCTCGTGGTTGTAGGACCAGCTTCTGAATATAAGTCAGCATTTTTCATAAGGTAGCTTGACCGCTTTGATTAGCCAGACTTACCTCCAGTTCCCACAAAAAGCTGCTGTCCGCTGAGCAACAAGTCACTAGCAATACACACTGTTCAATCTCAGTCTCGCTTTTGTTAAAAAGTAAAAAGCAAAATCAAATAAAAACCCCGCAGACCGCCCTGGCACGTGGAAACACTAGAGGGAGTTGTGAGCACACACTCCTCTAAACTGATCCCTGATAACCCTTTCCCAACTGATCTCAACTTGGGTTAACCTAGGAGGGGAACTCTGCTATAACTGGCCCCATGATTACATGCCATCAAAACACACTACCCCTGCACTTGACTAGTTCCTCAAACAGCTCATCACCCAAACCAGCCAGAACCCAATGGAACTGTAAATGTAAAATGGCCACAAATTATTCCCCTCCAGGAACAGACCTGGTTAATTTACTCTAGGCTCAGGTATTTGACTTCATTTGGTCAGTGGGATATCAATCAACAAAGGTGAGTCAAGTGGAGACTTGGAAAGGGGTTGGGCAAAGGAACTTGCCCTCTCTCTGGCTGCTTTTGGGATCCTGTAGCCACCATCATGTAAAACTGAGGCTAACCCATTGGATGCTGAAAGGCACTTAACCAAGTCTTATCTGTGGTCCCCGCTGACGACACTGAGCCAACTTCTGGGCATGTGAGTGATGCCACAATGAACCACCAAGTCCCAATTAGCCAGCCCAAATCAGAAGAACTGCCCAATTGATCCACAGAACTGACTGACAGCTGTTGGAGTAGTTTGTTAGTCAGCAAAAGCTGACAAGTGCAGTAATCCTACGGTCTGTGTAATCCAGCTAGGCAACGGCCCTAATGATGTTGATGGCCAGACAGAAAAAGCTTCCCACCTGCAGAAACCCAACCCCAGCCACAAGGACAAGGTCCCACTCAAATACTCTTATCTTTCATTTAACCTTTGTTAAATGTCTTCATGCTTTTAGTTTTATTCTTCTTGATCAGTATTCTGGTGATGGGTATCTTTACATGATGAGGCTCTCAAAAGTAGAGACTGAAATCTCCGTGTCACTCTTATGTTTACCATAATGTCAGTAAAAAGAAAACTGTTCAACTCAATTGAAAATTGATCATTTAAAAAAAGGTACACCTTCCAACTTCCCTGTATGTTTCAAAGCTTTATAATAAAATGTTGGGGGGGGGGAGCAGTGAATTCAACCTATTGAACTTACTGACCTAATACCACACCATAAATAAATACGACATCAGAGAACATGCGTTGTTTGCCATTTGATTCCCAACGCTTAGAACAGTGCCTGGCTCACAGCAGTTACTCAACAGTAGTTATAAAATGAACAAAAAGAAGGATGAAAATGAAGAGAGAACTCAAGAAAACTCAGAAGAAAAACATACTTGCATCATTAGATGAACTTCTACTTCCAAGGCATTCATTTGCTCCAAAGAGGGTGATGGAACAGACCAAAAGCAACACTGTGGCCAAAGCCCTGCAATCCCTTTGGGTACATGCTGCTGGGGTACTGAGTGTGCCCTGGGCCGTGTGTCACACACCCCGAGGCCTGTGTGTGGCCACCTCCGCTCCCCACCCCAGGTGAGATACACCATTACCAAGAGTAAGTCTGTGTATTCCCAGGCCTATTTATGCTAAAAGTATTTGTAATTCTACTGCATTAAATATTATGTAAACAGATGAAATTAATTTTAAAAGAAAGAATTCACCGTTTCTATGAGTCTATGAGAACTAAGTTGAATGCTGTGGAAAGTGAGTTGTTAAAAAAAAAAAAAAAAAAAGACCTGCTGTCAAATTAAGTAGGAGAAATGACTTTAACAACAGGGAAAAGGTTTGTTTACCTAGAAGGATCAGATTGCTTCACAAGCATCTTTCAATCTTACCACCCGTGAAAAAGACTGAGAATGGAAATTGTAGACATTGGATGATGGGTGTGTTTTACAGAAGAATGACCGTAAGAAACTCAGAGGACCATACACCAAGCAAAGGCCTTGGCCTCACATCAAAAGTGTGGTCAAGGAATATCCATTAATAGTTGTAAAATAAGATAAAAAGTGAAAGGTATGTTTATATAATTTTTAACTGACATTTTTATTGACCAGTTACTGGTCCTGATTGCCAGGATGAGGATGTCTGCCGATCAGAGGGAGTTTACAATTCAAATGTTGTTACTCAAAGAGCCACTGACCTTCGGAATGGTGGGAATCCACAGAGAAGTATGTATGTGATCACGCCTGCTGCCCAAATGTCCACCTTCAAGCCATAGCTGGGAAAACAAAGTGGGTGGAGGGGGAGAAATAAAGATACTACCCCCCAAGGACCCTCCACGCTACTGGAGTACTTGCCTTTGTTTGTTATGAAAAAGGGTTTTCTCGGTGTCAAAGCGCTCATTTCACGTAAAGGAATTAACTGCCCTTTGGACAGAGGCATCTACTTTTCTCCCAATCTAACCACGGTCTTGGGGGCTGCTGCTGTATTTCCAAGATTGGCCTCAGGACAAAAATCCAGGCCTATGGCTCTTGGATATAGAAGCACAAAGTCATGATCAAAGTCATGATGCAGGTGATAGTCTCTCCCACCCTCCACCTTCCCAGGAGGCCAGTGAAATCACAGCAGCTGGCGCAGCTACACATACCTTTTACCACCAAAGTGAGAGTACCAACCAGAGCTACCAGGAGTCTTACCCAGTTTCAGCAATTATTTCTGGAGCCACATAAGTCGGCGTGCCACAGACTGTATATAAAGGGCCTTCCACCACAGTGGCCAGCCCAAAGTCTCCCAGTTTCAAGGACTTGGTTCCGTCGGGATATTCACACACCTGGAACAGAAACCAGCCAATGATCAGTAGTTCCTTTTCTCAATGATTCCAAAAGGGCCCTTGGAATTAGGTAGAAACGACACAGATAGATGTATTCATCAACTAAAAAAAAAAAACAAAAAAACAAAACTCTCCCTGTGATAATAACACCATGATTTATTTTTGATGCTTTAAAGCTCTAAATTTTTTCTTTAGAAACTTTGCATGATTGTGTGGAATTTGAAAGACGGTATCTTCCATCTTTGTAAAAAGCTCCTTATCTAGGAGTAAAATGAATATGGGCTGACACAACAGGCGGGGTGTAGGCAGCTGCTTACCCGATGTGGCTTGAGAGGCCTCTAAACCCGGAAGCAGGAAACTGACTGTTGTTACATGTTCACGGTGTGTGAGGTACTTGAGAGTCTCAGAAATGGTGTTTGTTGTGTCCACTAAAACACTTTCATGTTTACTTTAGAACATAAAATCCGGATTTGTTTTTTTGGACAGTCCAATGATGAATATAAATATTTCATAGGGGAAAATTTTGTAAGTTTAGAAAGAAAATAAACTTGGGAACAGACAGCCTGAACCTGAATAACCAACCACTCCACCCATTTCCTGGTTGCGTGACCTTCGCAAGTCACTCCCTGAACATGTTTCTTCACCTGTGAGAGATGAGAATAGTCCCTGACCCATGGGGTTGGTGTGAAGAGACCAAGCTTGGATCAGGGTTCAATGAATGCTCCTTCCTTTCCCAGAAGGACTGGCTGATAAGATAAGTAACATATTAGAAACGGTTTAACAATGCTGGTGAAGATATGGAAGATATGAATGCGCTTTGCTTACAGGGGAAGCAGTCTTTCTAGAAGACATTTCAGCAACATGTGAATTTCTTAAAAATTATTTATAACACTTGATCCAGTAAATCTACTTCTAAGAACCAATCCTAAGGGAATAGAGATGAACCCAAAGGTTACACACAAGGCCACCAATCTCAGAATTTATCTATGTTTTTAAAAACTGGAAGGAACATAAATGGCAAATAGGACAATGACTTCATAAATCATGGTACATTCCTATAATAAAACACTATACAGTCACTAATAAGCACATTTCAAATAAGTATTAATCCTATGGAAAATATTCACTATATTACAGGAAAAAAGAATATTCAAAATTATATATTCAGTATAATACACCAAAACATTCAGTTTATTTCTAGGGAGTAGCACTAAAGATTACTTTAGCTTTCTTCTTTATACTTTTCAATAGGTTTCCAAAATCTTTACAATGAACACGTATTGGTTCTATAATCAAGAAAAATTAATTTTATATATAAGCAAACTTTCCTTATGGGATCCAAGTCTGAAAGTTACATTTTAAATAGATGGTTTTTAGATTTAACTGCATAACCTTTAACGTGCTTGCCTATTCATCTCTCAGATGTCCATTTTGAGAAGGGTGAATTTCAGAGAATAACTGCAGAGATCTAATCTGTACTAATGTAATGTCTTTCCCTACTTTTATAATTTTGTTCTATTTAGTTTGCTTTTCCTCATATTTTACTATGAACTGAACCAGATCCTCACTCAAACCACTCCTTACTGAAGGATGAGCAATTTAGAAAATTATGTTTTTTCAAGATAAGCATGTTAATAACATCTTCCATTAGTCTGATACTTAATGAGGGGGAGTGATTTATAGACATCGTGAAAAAGCATCAAAACCTCAGGGCTCCCCCATGTCAGCGATACCCAGTCTAGAGAGGCATTTAAAAAGCATGACACAGGAATACCTTCCTTACCTGTGATGTCCTCATCGGTTTAAGAAGAATGTTTTTCACCTTAGTATTTTAGTAACTGCTTCCACATTTATGTACTAAGTATACATCCCCTGCACACATCTTTATGACTTTTAGGTTTCATGGGAGTGATGGTGAGGCTGTAGAGTCCCTCACAGATATTTATCATTCTGAGTCAGCCACAGCTCAGCAGAGGCATATTCAAAGCTACTAATGATTTAGCCTAAAGCAGGAGAAACTAGGTTCTCAGTCTTGCCAGGGTCTTAGGACGACTTTCCATCCATTATGTTTAATGTAAACATTAACAAGAACAATCCGATATCGAGAACTACAGTTAGAATTTATGACGCATTTACTGAAACCCAGACTTCAGAAATTCCCTAAGTAATTGCAGTGATAAGAACATTCTAAGCAACATTATAATTTTAAATGTCTGTATCATGAAAGCAAAAAAAAAAAAAAAGTTTTATTAATGTCATTGTTATTTTGTTTTTACAAGTTTAAAATACACTCATTAGGTACATTTTTTTTGAAAAATAGTGTTTACTTTAGACATGCAATTTACAGATGCCTGGGGGTATTTGAGGGTTGTCATCAGATACTCAGAAGTCCCCAAAGCCCCATTTCTCATATCCCCTATAAGGAATTCCGAGTCAGATGCAGGAGCATAAATAGAAAGGTACTGGGCAGTTCATAATCACTGAATTATGTCTGGGCAAGTGGCACTCCTTGGCTAAACATCAAAAGAGAAGTGTCATAAGGAGCAGACAAGCCTGAAATAATACTTTATCTGATTCATCTCTTCCCAACGCTAGACACAGAGGCAAATATGTGAAAGATAATAGGAGTCCATTTCAAAATCTTAGCTGGAAATTCTCTTCAAAGCAGGAATATGTATCAATACATACAGATGCACATGTGTGACACTGCTTTAAGAGACTGACACTGACATACACACATATGGCATTGCTTTAAGAGACTGATTTGAAGAAAGAGCTGAACAAATGCATAGGGGACTCCAAAGGCCTTCTGTTTTGGCAGAGTGCTCCATTCTCTCCCCAGTTACTGACATCTCACAGAACTACAGAGATTCCAATGCTTTTTCCACACATGATCTCACTGGACCTGAGAGTCACCACCCACCCCACCCCCCGAGTGAATAGGAAAATAACTGTTACCTCTGTTTTACAGATGAGGAAACTGAGGCACAGAGAACTCAAGTTGCTAAGAGCTACCAAGTGGGGATTCCAGCCAGTACCTTTACCATCCCACGGCACCATCCTGCAACAGGTCTGAAGGCAAGAGAGTGGTCCTGGCAGAACCCCGACTGCAGCCTGCACCCACACACAGATGCTGAGTAATCTCAACAACCACAACCGCTCAAATGCCCCACCGCCACCCGCTGAGATGTGCTCTGTCAAAAGTTGCACTCAGAATGCAAAAGTTTAAGATGTGAGGAATGCAGATCCCACATACGAAGCGAACACTGCGTGTTCTCTAAATAAAATGTCAACATAATGATTTAGAAGGGCTTCAAATATGAGAAACCAACCCTCTTCTCTCCCCAGTCCCCAGAACTCCTGGAAAAGCAGAATTTATCACTGGTCTCTCATAGTTAAGTCTGACAGGGCACCACCAGGCTGTAACTCACAGCATTAATGGCCACCCCTGTGCTCCCTGACATGGCGACCCATACATCTCTGCTGGCAGGGGTTTAAATTATGACACTGCTCCCGGAGAAGGCGATGCAAATCAGATGTCTGAATGCTCTGGTGCTTAACAACGGAATTCGCTTTTAGAGTAGGAAGAGCCTGACAGTCACTCTTTGTATTTACTTTTAGTGCCTCAATGGCACTTTTTCATCCTAGGGCAATGCCAACCTGCTGACTGAATGCAGAATCTGCAGAGTGGTCTAGTTAAGTTTTCAATGGCAGGCACATATTTTACTTAGATATGTGCAGCTAAGGGCTTCGAAAGCCTGACCCTTTTATATCACACATTAGCCTCATCCAGACATCCGTTTTATCATCTTCTTCCTTCTCCTCCCCTTTGGGTAGCAGAGTGGGGTTACGGCAGGTCTTGAAAAGGGGTGAAGACTCATCTAGGGCAAGTTAGACTGGATGAGGAAGTTGGTTCCACTTTCCTGGTTACATTCTGAGACAGGTCATTTTGGAGACCCCTGGTTCCCATCATGTGACACAAGAAAAGGAGGCAGTATCGGACTCTGAGATGTTCCACACATTGTGAGTGGAAAACAGAAGAAAGGGCAGGTGAGAGTGGAATCAAAGAGCTGGGAAATGGACACTGCCTGGCTTACAGGCTAGTTCGCCACGACCTCAGTCACCTTCCTCACCGGGCCTCAGCAATCAGAACTGCAGTATGGGCTGGCTCCACAGTAACCGATTGTCCTTAGGGACCTGTGGCTCTGTATTTCCAGAAAACATCAATAACCACAGCCACCAGGGTGAGGTGGGCCATGGACAGCAGGGAGAAATGAAGGAGGCATCCTCATTAACACTATGGCATTGACATCTGGCCATAGCCAGAGGAAGCCCTGCTACCCTTGTTTCTGAAGCCCCTGGCCAATCTCAGTCCCGTGGTGGAGGAGCCTGGGCCTGACAGGTCATAATGGCTGAGAAGACTGTTTTGAGGAGAGAACACCATATCCTCACTTCTGTCCTGAGGCCCAGTCTACAATTGTCTCCATTCCTTCCTAGAGTTCATAAAACCAAGTCTATAATACATCTTGTTTTACAGAGAAAGGATATTTATTTTCCCAATAGGAAAATCTAGACATGAAACATAACTCCTCAAGGCAGAAGACAGTAAGAAAGAAAAAAAAAACCTCACATACTTTTAAATGGATACTCAGAAATCATCAAATGGTATTACCAAAAGGGGAAGATGGATTCACAGAAAGCTCCCAGGATGGCCTAAAAGCCTCAACCTCAATGCATATTCCTTTGAACAATTATTTGCACAGTGCGAGTATGAGGCAAGCTGGAAAGACTTGAGTTCGAGTACCAGCTGTTAGCTAGCTGAATGACTGTCAATGCTCAGGCACCAACCATTTACTCCACGTCCACCGTGTGCTTCGTTGGTACTGTTCAGGGCACTGGCGACATGCAAATAATGGAGACACAAACCTTGTCCCTAATGGTGCTTATCTAGAGAAGGAGTCACTCAAGTACATGATAAACTCACCACACCAGGGCATGTAGAGCGGAAACTAGAGGGGGCCATGACTGACTCTGTCCGGGAAGTCAGGAGTGATGTCAAAGAAGACATGCCTTTTGCTCAGTGTCTTATGAGAGGAACACGTTTGCCACGTTGCCAGGAGAGGACATTGCAAATGTAGACCAGTATGGAAATAAGCAATGATATGTAATGGTGTTGATAAAGTTAAGTCTTAACTAATGACTAGGGATGGGAAAATCAGAGTTTGGATTATCATGATATAGAATACTCAGAAAACCCCACCTCCTAAGCCATAATGATGACAATACTCAGTCCTGAAAGGTAGAAATAGACGAAAAAATGGTCCTGTGTGTGTTTGGGGGGATGTGTGATGGTCGAAGTCCCTAGTAAGCTTCTCTAAAATTCCTCTACCATGCAGACACAAAGGTTGGCCCAATTAGCAAGCTGTGTTTACTAAGGCCATCATGGAGATGTGCTAAATATGACATGAAGATTGAGTGCCAGTCTGGACAGATGGGTGGGGAAGGGTTAGTAACAGGAGAGGAGGCTGGAAAGGTAAATTGGGACCAGATTATGAAGCCCTCTGAGTGCCACAGACTTTCTTCTGTAGAACAATGGGACGCAGGGGACTTCTCAGCCAGAAAAATTAGCATCTGAGTCTAAATTTCTGTACCTATAAAGCTGAGGTAAATGGACTAGATTATTCCCAACGTTCTGTCCTGCACATACATGAACCATCATATTCTATTTCTGTCTCCTCCAAGCTCCTAATTGTCTAATTTATTCTTCAAAGTTTTGCCTCACAACATAGTTTTCCTTCTTACCTTTCTTTCATCAGTACCATCAATCAAAATGCAAATGGAAACGTGTTTTCTAATGTCTGATAAATAATAAATACAAAAATGCATATCAATTTAAGAAATCCATTAATAATTTATGGTCATTGACTTGAGCCATGGTGATTCTCTAAATTTAAATTCTCTCGGTCCCTTATTGCAGGATTGGTACAGACTCTAAAGTGATATTGTTTGCATGTGATCATGTCATTTTAAAGGAAGAGAGGATGCATTGGAACCAAAAAAGCAGAGATGGCATACCAAGAGGTTCTCCGGCTTGATGTCTCTGTGCACAATGCTAAGACCATGAAGATACCTGAGGGCATTGGCCAGGTTGTACACCATCGCACTGCCGTCTCTCTCAGTGTACTTGGTTGAAGAGGTAATTGCATCAAAGAGATCTCCACCCTGATGGACACATAAAAGAACACAGCAAAATGTCAACAGTGACAATCCTGTGAAGGTAACAAAGAAGGTTCATCAGCCTGGAGTAGATGAAAAAAATGACACAAGTGCCATGAACAATTATTATAAATAACAAAAGTTTCAAGGTAGCAAAACATGTTTCCAATGCGAGCCTTCAAGAATATGGTAAGTCTTGGGATTTGGCACCAATGAAATCTCTTGAAATCTTCCATCCTCTTACTTTGACCAATTCCATCACCAGGAAGAGCTCAGTAGCTGTTTCCATCTCCTCAACCAGCATGATGATATTTGGATGTTTCACCCTGCGCAGGATGGACACTTCATTCTCAATCAGGTGCTCCTGTCAAAGGAAGGGTTTAGAGAGGGTTTAGAGAGGTGGGTCAGAAACCACAGAAACCTCTTCTTTAGCTCTATATTCTGGAAGATGCACTACTGTAGACTGGATGCCGAAGCAAGCATCTCCCTTGGTGCAAAGACAAAACCAAGCCCTGGCTGAGTTGGTTTCCATAGGGACAGGACAAGTCAGTGTGACATGTCATTGTCACTAACAAAAAGGAACTGATATCCTCAAAATGTCCCTTGAAAGGGCTCAATGGTGCCACCCTGGCACATAAAATATACTACCTTCTTGTCTCTTCATTACCGCCAATGCTTAAGAGGTCATGACACTGAGAAAGCTTGGGCACAAAGCACCGTGCTTTGTGATTCAGCTGGAACCACTTTTTTTTTTTTTTTTTTTTTTAAGAGAGGGAGAGAGAGAGAATGTTAAACAGGCTCCACGCCCAGGGCACAGCCCGACACAGGGCTCAATCTCATGACCCTGAGATCATGACCTGAGCTGAAATCAAGAGTCAAATGCTTAACTGACTGAGCCACCCAGGCGCCCCTGGAACCACTTTTTGAGTATACACTCAAACTCAAGATCAAGTATACAAGGAAACTGCATGTGTATGGAATACAACTTGAGCATTAAATTTTTTTAAACCATTACTAATATGAATTTGAGTTTCATGTTGAACGTACGAGAAGAAAAAAAAAAAAAAAGGGTCCCCTCTATGGCTGGGTATGGAATCATTCGCCAGAAGGATGTTCCTTACAGTCTCGTATTTCAGAAATCAGGAAACATTGAGTACCACAGGGACCACTATTTTCATTTTAGCTCTAACCTCTTCCCTGAAAATACTACCTGATTATCAATCCTGGTGAGTCATGCAGCTGGGATCAGCACTGTAGCAAAATGTTTACCCACAGCATTAAGGAATTATTCTCAATACGCCAAACATGAATCATGAACAACTACTGCTCTATTTTTATGAGTTATGAAAACATTTCAATAAAATCACATTTGTTAATCCTCATGAGCTATAACAATAAATTATTTTGAATTTAGGGTATGCTCTGTTAAATTAACTAATTGCCCTCTGACACATTCTGGGTTTTCAAATATAACTTTTACATAAAACTTACCATATGAGAGAGAGCTTTTGCTACCTAAATACACACATATGTATATATCCGTGTGTGTGTGTGTGTGTGTGTGTGTGTCCCCCTCATAGTGTTCCTTTCACCTTTGCTATCATCAATCTTAGCACTAAATTTAGTGTTCCACTGAAGTGGTAAGATAATTATGTCTAGGTCAAGATGTCATTTAGGTTCTCCACTTCATGCATCCATGTGGACACGTCTTTTTACTCTAAGCCACCTCAAACAACAGATTAATATACATTATATCAAATGAATGAGGAGCACCCACAGGAACCCTGTGCAAACTCCTGCCCACATGGGCCATTTCTCCAGCGCTGAATGCACTGTGCTTGTCCAAGTAGTCACTCAGTGAATGTTGGCAAATGACAGTGCAAATGCTAACCTGAAGCAAGAAAAGAAAAGAACCAACATTTACTAGGAACCTAGTCACTATTTGTCAGTCTCTTTGCAAAGGAAGTATTTGTGTAATGTCTTAACACTTTATCCTTAGAACAGTGTTTTGAGGGAAAATGCAAACCTAGGTTTCTGACATCCAAGCCCACATTTTTTGTACAACACAATATATCACCTTTTAAAAAGGAATACTTCGGTAAAAGAATTATTTCCAAGTGAAAATGATAGCTGCAAAGCAGAAAATACTTAATTCCTTGAAAAGACAGGAACGAGAGAGGTCCAGGCAGAATCACACCAGGCTTTGCGCAGGGAGGAAAATCTATGCCCCTTAATGAGCAGGGGTGGGAAGTCTCCATCCAGCCTGAGACTCAGCAAAGGCTTCCAGATCTCAGACCCTAACAAACCACGACAGGGAGGCCGGGGACAGGGCCGCCTACCCATTAGCAATCCCTTCTAAGTTACAGAGCTGCAGCACCAAGCAGCAAACAGTGCCCTGGTCCCTCCCAAGAGAAGCAGCTTGACAGCCAACTCCTTGTGGCCACAGGGACAAAGGCTCAGCAAACACTCCACATTGGTTCACTTACTTCGAGGCCTCTGGATCATCTGTGCCAAGTCTGCCCTTTATCACACTAACAGGCAGAGTTAGATGTACTTTTGCGAACACGTAAAGGCGAGCAAATGCATTTCTTTCACTCTACGTGAAGCCAAGACAACAGGAGTTACTACCACTGCAGTAAGAAAGGCGTTTTATTTTAAAGCTAAATGGATCTATCACTTCAGTACACCCCCCCTTCCTCCCTATTGTCTCTGAAGTTGGAGGAGTCTGTAAATTTCCCTCTATTCAGGGGCTCTGGTAGGGATGCTAATTGAGAGTGACACATGTAAAATCATCCCTATCACCAGTACCCCAGGAGCTCTCTCAAATCCCTGTTAAAATAAGATGTCTACCACCTAGGGAGACAACACCTCTCAAAAGTTATCTTTTTCAAGAAAGGCTCAAGAGAAAGTCTTCTGGGAACTTTCTGATTGTGGAACTTCCCCAGGACCACCAGCAGCGCTACATCTGAAATACTGAGCAAGTGCTGCCGCATGCTGCCTGCCATGGCTCATTAGCTCAGCCCTGGGCTCTCCTCCACGAAGGCTAGGGTTCTACTCACTCAGTGAGTTTCTGCTGGAATGTGGGAGATGGTAGCCTTTGTCCCGCAACCTCTGACTGTGCCTGTAAAACTGTGTGGGAAGGAACAACCTGCTTTTTAAACTGATCATCATCGGAAGCAAAACAAAAGTAGCCCATAAAAATCTTTACAAATGTCATCTCCGATTTCTTAGGCAACCCCTGTGGAATCACTGTGCCCAATACGTAAAAACACTCTCTAGATTACATTTGCCAGGAAAAAATCTCTCAATACAGTACAGGCGTCACTTTTCTCTCAAACTGCCGTGAACTTACATTATTCAGCCATCTACCATTATTCCTGTTAAGTGATTCAGGACTCTAACTCCAAATAATTTACATATGAATCATTTCGTGGCAGTGTTCCAGGGTTCTGAGTGAGAGTAAATACAAAGAAAACTGCTAACTTGGCAAAAGATACCACCTTATCTTTGGCCATGGTGGTTTTTAATGAGAGAGAGATGGATTAGGGAATAAACAACTCTCCCAAACAAAATTAATCATCTTGTCTCTAATGGCCCCAGCCCCACAAAGCAGCCTTTCCTCCTGTGCCTTCTGTCCGGCTAAATCAACCTGGCTGCCCAAAGCAGACAGTGTTCTCCCAGCCCCTCCCTCATCCTCCACTACAGCCCATCAGTCCCCAGCTCCTGCCAGGTCCACCTTCTCAACAGCCTCTGAATCCACCCATTCACTTCTATCCCTATTGTCAATCTCTTGCCTGGGCCTCCAGGTGTTTGTACAGGTTTTCTCTGTCTGGAACCCCCGCCCCCCCACAACACACACACTCCTTGGGGGACTCCTCTGTGTTCCTCAGGTCTAGATTGGACCTCACCTCCTCTAAATAGCCTCCCCCGCTCAATCGTGGCTGGGTTAGGCACCTTCCTTCTCTCTGTGCCCCCTGTTCTTGCTTCAATCACTGCTCTCACCCTGCTGTCTGAAGGCTTCTGTTTACCTCGCTCTCCAGCAACCAGCACAGTTGGTTCTGAAGTGTATGAGTGAGTGAATAAAGACAGCATGCATTGCTCTTGGCCAACAGTGGCTTTCCAGCTGGATTCCACATTGCTTAGTGAGTATTGCTCCCCAATGAGAGGGAGAAAATGTCCAAATCACCCCATATGATTTCTGTAGTAAGATGTATGTAGTGGATTGAATAACGGCCACCCAAAGATATCAAGGCCTAACCCCTGGAACTTGTAAATATAACCTTATTTGGAGAAAGGGTCTTTGCAGATGTGATTAACGATTCTGCAATGAGGAGATAACCCTGGATTATCTGGGTGCCATCACAACTGTCCTTATGAATGGAGGCAGAAGGAGATTTCACAGACAGAAGAGGAAAAATAAACACACAGAGGAGAGTGATGTGAGGACAGAGGCCAAGATTGGAGGGATGTGGCCGTAAGCCAAGGAATGCCATCAGCCACCAAAGCTACTCAGAGTCAAAGAACAGATTCTCCCCTAGAGCTCCAGAGGGAGTATGGATTTCAGACTTCTGGCCTCTAGAACTGTGAGAGAATAAATTCCTGCTGTTATAAGCCACCAAGTTTGTAGTAATTTATTCCAACAGCCTCAGGAAACAAATACAATATACATTTGGATTTGTGTTGTGCTTGGGCCCATTACATGGAGGTGATGAATGCGTAACTGTGGGAAGAAAAGGGCAGACCACTTCGAAGCACCGTAACAGAGAGCTCAGAGCTTCGTACACTATGCAAATTTAATAAATAATCATTTAGAATGAACACTTTTTAGAATATTAGATACAGAAGAATTCTTTTTTTTATGCTGTTAGTCACCATACAGTCTATCATTAGTTTTTGATGTAGTGTTTCATGATTCATTGTTTGCGTGTAACACCCAGTGCTCCATGCAACGGAAGAATTCTTAAATTTACAAACACCACAGCCTTCTCAACAGCCTCCATAAGTCTGGCCCCATGGCAAATCTTGTAATGATCTCCTACTCAGAGGCACCTAACATGCTTTCCATCCTCTGGGCCTTTGCTCAGGCTGTGCTAGGCCCCTGGAAGGCTTTTCTTTCATTGCTTCTATTGAAGTCCTAACCACTGCTGGAGTTTCAGCTCAAATGCTTACCCATGGCATCTTCACTGATCACCTACTTCACTCATGTGCTTCCTCCAAACTCCCATATATTCTCTGCAGAACTGGTATTAATTTATATGTGAGATTACCCTATTCCTAGCACAGTTTCTTGCACACACATCAAATTTTAGATAAATGAGTCAATTAATCTGATAATGTACAAGTATATGACAGAATAGCAAACAGAAGGCCAGAAAAGGTTGAGATTTTTTTCTCCAGGTTCTTATTACATGAACAAATGAATAAATTGAACTTGAACAGGGAACGTGGCAGACTGGCTAATGTACAGGCTACATAATCAACGAGCACAAAATTCCAATCACTGCTCTGCCTCTGTGTGACTTTTGGGAAGCTATTTAATCTGAACCTCTGTGGATCAGTGAAACTGGTATATCTTGTTTAGCAAATCATTAAAGGTAATGTGCAAAATTCCTCTATGTCCAAGCCTGGACAGATGATACATTTTAGTAATTTAGTTTCTGTGTACAACCCACAAAACAGAGGTAACCAACAACACCCCAGAATAGTAGCTGATTCCACTATGCCTCCCCCTAGGTTTTGTCTTAAAAAAGAAATTCTCTATACCAATTTTTTCAAAAATAAAAGTCAACAGGGAAATCAACCTATTTGGAACAAACCAAGTTTTTAAATTATAATTTTATACAAAGTAGAAATAGTTGCTCAAATAAGCAAAATGTGAGGATGGAAATAAGCATATGATCATGAATTATAAAAACAGGATGACATTCAACGACAAGGAAAAACAGATCCAAATGTTTAAAGTGACCTAATCATTTGCCTCGGCATTTAGTGTACCAGACATATTTTTGCACATAAAGAGCTTTTTTGAACGACTAAAACAGCTGCTTAAAATTTAATCAGGTAAACAATATCCCTACCACAGCAATTTTTTTTTTACTTTTTTGATAAAAATACTTTATTACAGTTGCTTAGAACTTGGCTCCCAAAATTATGACACATTCTGCTTAAATTCCACAATACCAGAAAGAGCAACACTTACTTACATATGAGGAAAAGGCTTTGTAGTTAAAAATTTAATAATATTGTTAGAACAATAAGTAAAAGCACACATTTTATTTAAAGAATATTAACTTTTGGAAAATCTTACTTATTCAAAGAAAAGGGGGGCATTTTGTACAGTCTCTGCTTCATTAGCTGTCACAGTGTGGTTAAAAAAAAACAACGTATGACAAATTTGCCTTTTGCCTTTCTCAAACTTCAACATAATAATAATATTTTAAGTTTTCTGTGAAAAATACATAGTTTTGTAAATTTCCAATGAAGGCCACTTCAGGAGTTCCATTAATATAAAATCACGACTATCGCTTTAAATCTTAATTATACATTCTGAATTTGTGGCATATTAATAATGTTAACAGTTAACATGTGCTAAAATCTTATATACTGGTATTTCTCTACATGTTTTCCATACCTGAATTCAGTTAATCCTCACAATAACCTTGTGTCTTAGATATTATTAACAACCACATTTTAGAGGAAGAAACAAACACAGAGGGGTTAAGTAACTTTTCCAAGGTAGCACAGCAAAAAGAAGCAGAACCAAGACTAAAACTTCATACACTCTGGCACTAGAACAGCACGGTTCAACAGAAATAGAATGTGACCTACATATAGAAATCTAAATTTTCTGATGCCCACATTAAGAAATGTAAAAAGATGCAGATAACACTAATAACTTACATAACCCAATATATCCAAAATATTATCATTTCAAAATGCAATCAAACAAAAAAGAAATTAATGAGGTACCACACTGTTTTTTCGTACTGTCTACAAAAATCTACTGTGTATTCTAATCTACACTTTAATTCAGACTAGCCACCTAGGAGTTCTTGAGCCTGCTTTCTTAACTGCTATGCTAACAAAGTAATTTTAAAAAGGTCTTTGTCATCCAAGCTATTATCTTTTCAAACATAGTTAACATATCAATACTCCAGCAGCACTTCATCATTTGATCTTTCCCAGATCAGCCTGAGAGTGGGACAGAAGAAAAAAAGTTGATGGGGGGGAGGGGCAATTCTTCATGGTGTTTCTACACATCCTCTATCAGCTTTTGTTACAAACTATCTTCCCAAGGGTATTTGTAACATAGAGATCGTAGAGATAGGGTCTCCCTCAAGGGTAGAGGACAGATTGGTTTCCTGACCATTATCATAAAAATAGTTTTCCTCTGGGGCAAAGTTTGGACAGGTTTGCTAGCAGCCCCCTCATAAGACTGGCGGTTTACTAAGCTTGAGGATCCTCAGCTGTGATCTAAACCTATTCTGTGTATAGCAACCGGCCGAGCCCCTCTGCATCACTTCCGTGGGACTTGGGAGCTAAGAGGACCAAAGCTACCTGCTGTGCCACAAGTTATAAAAGTCTTTTGTCTCTGACCCAGCAATCCTGTGTCTTCAGCCAGCATCCATAAAGCAAGAAGGCTAACTCGTCAGTTGGAAAGTAAGGTGAAGTCTTAGACTCATCACAGTTCGTGACAGATCTTTTGAGCATTGCTGAGTTTTCATATAGGCATCTCCCAAAGAAGAGAACTTATATTTTCTATAGCTAGGACCGGATCAAGTCAATTTATTATTTTAGGATTAAAGTGAAAAATGACAAGGAAAAAAAAAACCATGTTGATAGTGTTTCCCCTATTATTATCAATGGTCTATTCCTATTAAGGCCTTGTCAATGCCCACTTAAATTCCTTCACCGCAGTAAACATCTCACCAAGTTTCTCAGTTTCTTATACTGTACCTTTCCACAACATTTGGCTTTGTCTATAATCTTCAGGGCAAATTCCTTTCCAGTGGACCTATGAAATAATCAGAGAAAGGCAATTAAAGACACAAAGATACAATCATTCCCGATTTCCTCTACTAAAGGAAACGAAGATATTCTTCTAAATATCTTTTAGAATAGGAAAACGGTTCAACAGAGAAGTACTACCTTCCTCCTCTGTACATTAGGGACGATAGTGAGTGGGGTCAGGGAGAAAGGTACCCCAAAAAAGAAATGAAAAAATCCAAAGCCACACTGTCATTCTCATTTTATGATGTTAATAATTATAATATTAAATAATTCACATATTAAAAGTATTTAAAACTCTGTTGTATCAGAGCTGGACAAGAAATTTTTTCCATACTTAAATCTCAAAAGAGTTCTCTTAGGAGGCAGAATAAAATTAAGAAAAATTAAAATAACTAAAATTTTCTATGATCAATATATCTTTACGTTAATCTACTAATGACTAAAAGGCCCTAGGCTTTCAATATCTCTTTCTCAGCCAAAACTCCAGCTGGTGCCATTTTAGCCACACCCTTAAATGCCTGTATCTGGTAGGAAAGAGATCATTTACTTGGACATACAAATGTTGAGGTTGTTAACGTTTAATCACCTTTAACACAATTTAATCTGAACATGCCAAAAAGTATTGTTTAGCTAGGAAAACAGTTCAACAAAAAACACTGCAGTATTCTGGGAATACATTAGTTCTCTCAAGTGCAACTGCTTTTGCCACATGGTCACAGCACACACTGCGGAAGCTGACCTTAGAAGAGCAACTTTCATTTAAATTGCTTCCGCATAACATAAAACAAACCCTGACTCAGATTTCTAATGAGTCCGTAGAGATCGTATCTTAGATGCTTAATTTGTTACTTGGGTGGCAAACTGTGCACCAGAGCTAAGTAAAAGGACTCAGGGGACAGGGCAGTGTCCTCTACAAGGAGCACGAAAGCTTCACTGGAGATGCGGCAAAATGGAAAAGCTTTCTGGAAAACTCCCCACCAATAATAAAAATTACCACTTAGAAGAAGTAGGGTATTGACCTATAAACACAAAAGCTCTAATCTGAGTCTTTTCCAGTTTGTATATTGTTTACAAAAGGCCTGGAATTTAAAAGAATGGATTTCTTACCACTTGAGAATTTAGGACCTTAAACAACATAAAGTTGAACAAGGAAAAATATAATTTTAATATAGGCAAAAGTTGGCTGACCCTGATCTGAATAGAGTCAGAGCTCATATATCTGAACTCCTAGTATTTACAATTAAGTATTAATTGAGAGGGTTACTGTGGGGCTTAAAGGCAGCATCGAGAACATGCCTGACACAGGTAAGTGCTATAGGAGATTTTTTTTTTTTTTTAAATGAATCTAATTCTTTCCTATTCCTCTCTGGCTCGTGGATGAGACCTGATAAATCTCTTAGCCCAACTGCGTACAAAGCAAGTTTATACTCTGGGCCTATACCTATTTTTTCCAGGTCAAACTGCCTGTGGGCTTACAAAACAGCTGGTCCTACCTAACTGTAGACTTTTTCAGGAAGGGGGAAAAAGAGACCTCCCAGGAAGGCCTTTTGTTCTTTCATTCAGCTTAGTAAGAATAAACTCCAGGGGAGAAATGTAGGTAAACAAATGATTATCCTCACCATCCACTCACCTGTCCATGCACTCTTTGACTACTGCAAAATTCCCATCACCAATAACCTTCCCGATTTTGTATTTCTCAAGAAGAGTTGATGATTCAGAACACCTGTTTCCATTCACACCTGCACAAAAGGATAAATGCAAAGTCTAGCAAACACATCAGCATTTCACCTTGATTCCTACATTTCTGTAAAATAATAAATTGCAATGCAATTGATTTCTAAATCTATGGTGAACCATAAGAAAATTTCTAAGCATAGTTTCTGAACACCTGAAAACCTGAATCACCAATTTCCTTTTGACCTTGTTGTGAAATCTGAAACCAACATAATCAATAAACCTAACATATCCCTGAAATATCAGCTGAAATAAGTAAAAGAAAATTTAACCTAAGCTTTGTAAACTTCTTTGTTAACTCTCGAGGAAGGGAAAGGGGATGATGGTGGGGATTCGATCTTAAAAATTTTCAAGATTTCTCCTCAAGATTTTCTAGTAGAGAAAATTCTACCCAGCTGTGGGATACCTGTTAAGGCTAACTCCTGGCTCAAAGTCCTCTCAAAAAGGGGAAGGGCAGGGGAGAGGCAGGAGAAAGAAGTGGTTAAAAGGACTACTTTTTACAATGTATCCCCAGGGCCCAGCACATAGCAGACATCCAATGAAGAAACACACCTTTGCTACCTAATTGAGAGAAAGGGAAGTCTACATGTAAGACTTGTGAGCAGACTGCCACTAAGGAAAAATAAAGGAAGCCCAAGTGTAAAATCTGAAATTGGGTTAGCTTAATTAAAAAGGATATTTTATATATCCTGAAGTGACCTCACCAAGGCTCATTAGGCTAATCGGTGACATGATTACATCCCTACTGAGGAAGCACAAGTGGGTTTTGGGTGGCCACCAAGTTCACATGGGTGACTTCCTTTATAAAAGTAATCATCAGATTGAGGACTACCTTCAGGACTCATGCAACGACCAAGTTCAGGTCCACCATTTACATTGGAAGAAGATCTGCCGTGTGCAGAAATCTGCTGAAAGAGGAGAGTGACCGTTATTTATTGGGAAAAATTTACAAATCTTCAGCTAGCTAATCCTTAAAGAATAGAAAATGCTTATATTGTACAAAAGTATGATGTTACAAAAAGAGAGGAGGCATCTCTTTGTCCCCATCTCTTCCCTATATCATTAACACATTTCTTCCTTAAAGTATTTTCAAATCAGATTGGGTATCAGGAAATTGACAGTGTATTGCTCTGTTTGATACTGTTTTACTCTTGACCTCAATGGAATAAAGTAAAGGAAACTATCATGGCACCAGAGCGGAACAAGGTACTTATTAGTGGCATATAAGGTTTAGAACTCTAGGTAATTCCAAGAAATGTGGGTACGGAGTCCCCAGATCCCACAGCGACCCTGTGGCGGACCTCAGGGAGTCCCTGCAAAGGTGGAGCCCTTCTCAGAACTTAGCTTCATGCCTAGGACTGAATCACCTTCCATACTCTCCTGTGGATTCCAGATCCAGAGTGCAGCCCTGGCTTGACCCTCTTCTTTACTTCTTACTTGACAGCAAGAACTCCTCCTAACCATTTTAAAGACTTTAACTACTAGGAACGAGAGGGAAATAAAAGATAAAACTAAAAGATAGGTTCTAACTCAATAGGGCTGAAGTTCCCAGTCCAATCCAAAAATATCCCCAATTCTTAAAAGAATTGAAAAACTCATATTATGACTATTATTCATAACAGGTTTATTATTATGTCTGCTTAGGGAATTTTTTCTTTATCCCTAAGGGCTCTTAGGCTTTTGAACTCAAACTTTTCTCTTTGAACTATAATTGTCTTTCTTTCCCCTTTTCTTTTTTTAATTATTCCTTTCAGAAGCTTCCAAGGTCAAAGGACTTACCAAATACTGAGAAGCCTCTTCAACATTTTATGTATTGGTGAACTTATCTGCTTGCCTCTATGCCCAAACTATCCTGGTACCCAAGTCCCATAATAATTGTGCCTTATTCATCACTGCATCTCCCGTATGCAGCACAGTGCGTGGTACACACAACACTGAATTCATACTTGCTGATTAAAGGCATACATGACAGGGCCAAGCCAGGGAGACACCCGTCCCAGAGTGTTCACAAGTTGGAGACACTGGGTCTACTCTCTTCCTCTGGATGAAGTAAGAATCTCACAGATACCGAGTCCGGTTCAAAACCCAGGAAAGCCCAATACTTATACACATTGCTTCAAACAGGATCATCCAGAAGTTCTTCTGGAATGCGATACAAGCCTCAAGAATAGGAGGCATTAAAAATTGGTCTGTTTTCTCAGATCCCATGTAACCACCTTGTGTGGACATGTGGACAGTAAGACCAGCAGCAGCGTGTTCTCTTAGGAACGCGAGGCCAAGGAAAAGCAGTTCTGAGAGACAACAAATCGGCCCCTGTCCTGAGTGGCAAACATGCTTCTCACAGGTTTTGTCTCCTTCACTCTGACATGGAGAAAAACTGTGTAGCAATGTGGGTGTGTGTGTAAGGTCCCTTTCAGGCCACTCTTAACTGGATGACAATACTACCCACTGACTCCTCAGAGTTCTATCATTTTGTTTCTCACAGGCAGTGTTTCAAAATTTAGCTTTTTTGTTTTGTTCTATTTCTTTGCTGCAGAAATTAAAGGCAATTCCAAAATCAGCTGTAGTCTATGCTCAAATGTTTAAAAGCTAGTTTGTTTAAAACCCAGGCCCAGAGAGGGGACTTCAAGGGAAGCCTGAAAGAAAACCACAAGGTTCTCCAGTCAGTCCTGTTTCCACAGCTACCACCCTGGTCCTCCTTTGGCTTCTCCTAGTGCCTCATCAAAGGCTTCCCTGGTTACTCTCTGTCTCAGCCATTCCACACAGGATTGCCAGGAAACTTCTCTAAGGATAGTTCTGATATGACCCCTAGGATCCAAAACTTCAGTGGGTCTTTGTGACCAACAGAATAAGCCCATCATTTGTCTTACTACCTGCCTGTCCAACTTGTTTCCCACCGCTTTTTCATGAATTTTATACATTAACTCAAGATTTTTTTAAAAGATTTTATTTATTTTAGAGAGAAATAGAGAGCTTGAGCTGGGGCAGGGGGAGAGAGAGAATCCTAAGCAGGCTCCACACCCAGACGTGGAGTCTGATGTGGCACTCAATCTCAGGACCCTGAGATCATGACCTGAGCTGAAATCAAGAGTCGGACACTTAACCAACTGAGCCACCCAGGTGCCCCTCAATATATATATATATATATTTAAGTTGCTTAAACTTCCCAAGTCTTAATTTTCTGCTCTGAATATAGGGATAGTCACAAGACCTACCTAGTTGAAAGATGTGCAAGAAAATTAAAATTAGCTCCTACATGTAAACTCACTGACATGTAACACTAACTCAGTATTAGTTATTAGTATACTTTTCTTAAACATCTAGCATAAAGCCTTGAGTCCAATGGCTAAGAAATGTTTTCGAATTGTTGAATGTACAATGGCTAGAAGAGATCTTTTTCTAAATAATTCATTTCAAATCTGTTCTTCTTCTAATCTAACCCTTCCTAGACTGAAAATTGCCAGTCATGGGAATAAGAGATCCAAATTAAATTCATATCAGCCAAGTTCTTAATGGAATAAAGACAGGAAAAATGTCATCCTGGAGAAAGTTCTATCTCAAAAAATAAATGGAAAGATCCCTTTTGATCACTGCTCACCCCTAGATTCCAGTGATGGGGGAGGTAGACTGTAATACCTGGAAACAACAGCGGATAGTGACCAGCTTACTTGCATGTCTAAATTTCACAGCCCAGAACGGGGCAGCCCCATACCCTCCAGCCGCAGCTGGTTGAGTCAGGGTGCTGGGCAGGAACCTTCTCTCTTCTCAACACTCAGAACCTAGGGAAATGTCCAGTACACAGGCCCACTGCTGACGTCCTAAGACCTGCCTTTGTCCCTGCCCTCCCCCAGGCCTGCTTGCTTAGCTCTCCTGGAAGCAGGTAACATTCTTTTCACAAGTCCCTTTCTTGAGCTAATTTGAGTAAACTTTAGTTGACCGCAGGCTGATGTGTTCTGTCTAACTCAAGGGCTCTCTAAGAAGGAAGTCTTGGAAGGGACTAAAATGAAGGCATTTTTACCTCCATATACATTTTCACATGGATGGGTGACTCCTCGGAGTAATCTACTAATTGAGTTCCTGAGAACCACTGTAACTTTCCCAATGTCTGTTTTGATTAAACCCCTACTCCGACCTATCCCGATTCCCTGTACAGCCCAGCAATTACAAGCACAGTGCGTGCTGGGATTCACAGGCAGCAAGGAAAGAGACCAGGAGACAGAGGAGGTGTGGGAACCGGTTCCCTGGCAACTAAAAGAGAGCAGGAGCCAGGCCAAAGCCTGAGCCTCAGGGAAGGATGTGGCACATGGTGGGGGCCAACTGAAAGGCTACTTCCACGTGTACCTGACAAACGTGTCATTAAATCACCAGGAAGTGCAGCTTTCTTAGCAAACTAATGATGGCAAGAAAAGCATTCTTCAAAACTCCCAAATTGAATTTTTTTTAAAGTATGGAACCTCAAGCATTTACCAAAAAACAAAACAAAACAAAAAAACAAAACCAAAGACCTATAGAGAGTTAACAGGAGTGACCTATCTAATTACCTATCCAAATAATGTTCCTTTATTTGAAAACATGAAGGAGAATCATTTCGTGACAGTGCAGCTGAACAGACAGGGACATGAGTTGATGCAGGAACAGTTCTCCCTTCCTCCCTCAGCAATAACCGATGCTGGGCTGTTAGAGGATATAAAGATGAAGAAACACGATGATCGCTACCGCCCAGAAGTTTACAGTCTTATGAGGAGACATACGTGCACGCGTAAAACCTTTCCGAGCAACCTCTACATTCCAAGAAATGGTCTTTAGGGTTCTGATGGTACAAAGGACTCTGATGACCCGTGAGAGGGAGCCATGTTGCTAAGGCAGGAATCCACGCTAGCCAGTGATTAAGTTCACTTGACCTCCCAGTAATGAAGTCTGGTGCTCCAAGGGTCCGAGAAAAGCTGGGTATTCACCAAGATCCCTGGACAGATCCCTGGCAAATGTGAAGTGTCTATTGTGAAATATAAAGCAAAGCATTCCCAGTGCCCTGAGAGACATGCAGACAAAGAGCAATGAAAATGCAGGGGATAAAGCTAGGACTACAAAATTCTCACTGTTTCCCAGGCACAGTTTCTACATTTCCCTGTTCCTGGTCAGAGAATTATTCTCTTATTGAAGCAAGGATTGAATTAGCACCAGAGATTAAAATATGGTATTCCTGATTAAACCTGTCCCATGTCTTTTGTCAAACTAACAATTTTTATTAAAATCTCTTAAAATGCTAATGAGCGTTCATGCTTCCATCAGCAACTACGATGCTGAGACAGCACAAAGAAAATGCCTAGATGCTGCATGTTTGCAAGATCCTCCTCAATAAAGCATAAATGGATGGCAGCATCTGGGCTCTTTCAAGATTATCTTCCATAATTACTAACTGGTTCAAAAAGATGTGATTATGTTTCGGGGTGGGGAGAAGAGCGGGGCAAATTTCCTAATGAGGTCCTGACTGGTCAAGGAGAGAAGGTGATGGAAAGGGCTAGAGATATTGCTGAGAATGTTACGTGACCCAGCACTGCTGCAGCAGCTCCATTTTTTGAGTAACCAAGGAAAGGAAAGGCACAAGAACCTGCTTCTGCTAAGAACATTTTTTTTTTTTTAAAGAAAATTCAGTTCCTCAGCTGCACTAGCCACATTTCAGGTATCTAATTGCCCTGTTGGTCTGGTGACTACTGTATTGTACAATGCAGATACAGACCACTTCCATCATCTCAGAATGTTCTATTGAACAGCACTAGTTTAAGCACTTGAGAGAGATATATGTGTTTATATTTATATATTTGTATTTATTTTCTTTCTTTTAATTGAAGTACAGTTGACATGCAGTATTACATTAGCTTTAGGTATACAACATAGTGACTGGACATTT